CATAGCGGTGTAGTCAGGGCTCCTTCTCCATTCCCACCCCCTCCCAAAATCAAGTTCTGTGATAAACTGACCAGTGGGGGGTGCTCTCAGCAACTGCTATGAGGTTACACTAACCCTTGCCGCTCACAATGCGACGAGGATGGAAACGGCGAGATGAACAATTCAGCGCCGACAGAGAAACAAAAGGACAGAGAGGGAGGATAAACTAGCCCAGGGCCTTGTGCTCCTGCATCACACGTGTTTACAGACAGTCACGCCGCACGCCTACTAGCTACCAACTGGGGCGTGCTCTGCCTCCCTGTGTTTGCGTGACGTTTCCGGGCCAGAGCGAATCACCTTCCAGCCTAGCGATGCCACATGGTGGAGATTTGAAGAAGGTATTAGCTTCGCCAGCTGCCTGACAGCATGTAACCCTGTCTACCAAAGAGGAATGAACCCGCTTCACATGTGGACGTCTGTGGACGAGCTTCGGGAGACAAAAAAGGGAAGAACTTCTAGTGGCACATTGAGGGCTTGCCGTCGACTGCGAGAGGAGGACAGTGTCTGCACCAGCGGCAAAGAGCCCAGGGATCGGCCTAAAGCCTACAAAGGAAAAGCCTAAACCATTGCAGAAATCTGCAAAAAAAATCTCTTGGCTTTATTTTATTTTGCTTATTGTTTTTGTGGTAAAGCCCTTAACCCATCTGGAGTTTCCTGCCTTTAACCCCCACCCCACCCATCGCCTATTTTCTTTTTTTGTTGGTCTGAAACGTAGGAGGAAGTTGTGGTCTCCATTAACGTCACAAGACTTAACTCAGCCTTGAGGTCTTGACACTTTGTAGTGTCACTCCTGATACTGCCGTGAGGGTCACACCGCACAGGTACCGTCCGCAAACAGCGCTGGAGCTGGACCTGGCAGGGACACCTCCCTACGCCCCCCCTTTTCCACCCAGCTCCAGAACACGCTTCCATGTGGACCTCCTCTTAACTTTTAGTCAGCGGAAGATCTTCAAGGGAGTTATGTGAAAGAAAAGAAGAGATCTGACTGATGAATCCCATTTGGGCACCTAGACAATACTGTAAACATCTCTAACATCCTTTAGGCCAAAGACTGAGTAGAACCAGGGCCAAGAATTATAGATATGCTACTTCACCTGTAATCATGGGGCGAGACATTCAATGTCCAGCCTACTGATCAATCAGTACCCTTTTTTTTTTAAAGATACTCAAATGTAAATATCCGGACATCAAGTATTCTACACTATGCAAAGCTTTCCAGGTGAAGGTGCAAGTTAAACAAAACTGTCAATAAATCTTCGCCGACCTTTCACGTTCCTCCAACACAAAGAGTCTTAATGCATTCGGGTATTTTCCCCAGCGTGACCACAAACGTGTCAGGAACGACACACTTTTATTGTTGGGTTTTATTTTTTCTTTTCTTTTTTGTCGCAAGCCGACTGTTTTCATGCTGAAAATGTTGATTTCCAAAACATCTGCACCTCCCGAGTTGATGATGAGATATTAGTACACATGTGTAGGCCTATTTGCAAATATACAATACAACAAAAACCATGCAATATGTATTTTTGAAAAAGACATCCGCCCACTAACTTTCCATAACCAATAATGTGATATTTGCACATTTCCTAATTACAGTGAAACAGTTAAATCACATTAATGACTTTTATTTGCATGCAAATCTGGAAAGCAAAACTACTTAAGCAAAAGTCCAGATGGTTGCAGCCGAAATATGACTGCTAAAGGTCTCACGAGTCAGTCTATAATTGGGCGAGTGTGTAGGCTTTGAGGAGTCGACGCACATAGATACTAAGCAAGCAAAGCAAATACATCAGTGAAACTGATGCAGACGCCAAATCCACACTATGCGCTGCAGTTACATGCTGCTTTAGTGGCTAGAAGGCGCAAACGAAGACAAATAAACCTTAACAAAAAAGTCCAATCGCTGTCTTCATCAAAAGTAAATTACACTGCGCGATGCACAGCAGTCCGCTTTGCGCCAGGCCTTCGCGCCCTGCTATGCGCGGAACCCCTCGGGCAGCTGGCTGTTCATATGCTTTACTTGCCTTTTGAGCCTAAACTGTCAAACTATCAATACAAGAAATAATGAGTGAAAATGTTCATAACGTGATTTCCAACCATCTAGTTTAATTCGTAAATCCTTCAGTCGTGGTTTTGTTGAACGCTCGTATAAGTGGAAGTTGTGAATCCATATTCACACGACAATTACGTAAATTGAGTAGGCTACGTGAGAAAAGTAAGCACTGCTTGTTGAAATTGTTCACTATAAATAAAGATCTAATCTTAAGCTTTGAGGAGTTGAGTTTTTCATGTAAATTACGTCGCATTAACAAATTATTTCTTTAAGTTTTAATTGTTGTTCCCAATATATTTTATACTGCTTGAAACAAAGATTTCATTGTTTCTTTTGCGATTACCTGATTTTCTCATAGTTTCTATTTACGTTTAAATGTAGCTATAGATAACTGAATACCATTCCTATTCATAATGAACGCTGTTCCTTGATAGGCTTCAGTAATCTTAACTGTTACTATTTTATTTGGTTAAACATTGTTTCATTATTAATTATGGTTTTCAATGTCTCGTCTGAGGCAGTGAAATTCCCATCTCAGAATTTATTTTTAAGTCATGCTAATAGACTATAGGTACAGCCTACGGTATAATGTGCAGAGAACCATCTTCTTCAAATGTCAATTTTTTTAAAATGTGATGTTTATCAACCGAGTGGTTGTAAAGCAAAGGTCTCGTAACACTTTGATGTTTTTGAACCCCCAGCTTCTTCAAGTAGGGTTTTCATGTGGAGTTCGTATTGAAAGCGCGTTAAAGTGAATAATTTGTTTTAGCGGAGATGTTTCCTCCACACACTTCGGGAACAGAAGCTTTTGAGACCACGGTCTAAAGCGAAAAGGACAGATCGATTGTTATTGTACTGGTTCAAATCTATTTCTTGACATTAATATTTCGGTTTCAAGAAAAACGTTTTCCCACAATAGTACACAGTATAAGCCGAAAACCACAAAATACATTTCAATTAGGCTACCTAAATGCAAACTATGTGTCATAGAACTATTTGGGTGAAACATTACTTGTTTTTCAGATATCAAAATATAAATATTGCTCGCTTGTCATGACATGGTGATTACATTTCAATAACACACCTGCAATCGCTTCCCCTCGTGCACATTTATTATATTAAGTTCATCGCGACTTTTCTCAATCAATTATCTAGGCTATCTGTCCATCAAAGGTTTTAACATAAAAATTATATCACTTCGTGATTATGGTTCCCCCGACTGTACCAACAACAACAAAAAAAAAATCACCCGGACAAATAAATAAATGGCCAGATATTTTCGCTTTACCAACGCATTAATAGCCTGAATACTTGATAGAATGGAATACTTGCGTGATGACCGTGGTTTGTTTTCTAAAGCGGAAATATAGCTTGCTTGTCTTTGGAAACTTTGCGATTTATATCGCCAAAACAGGAATGTTGCGCATATTGTTATTTAAGAGCTGGTAGCGTAATCGAGTTTATCAGGCTACTCGGGGATAGGGTCCCCCCAAAAGTAGCCTTCTGATATTGTAATAAGTGGGCAATGGCAGGTCTCTCGCAATAGTTAATGGACTATCGGCGAGCCTGCGATCACATCCATCGCTATGAAAAGGTGCGCGTCGAGGTCCAGCCGGTAGGCGGGTCGTCAGCAGTCACTTCTTCATCTACACTACAGCGCACCAGTTTCGCTCAAATCGTGGCAGAAGGCGAAGTAGGAAGTATCATCTAGTGACCTGCTGCTACACGGGCAGGTTTTTTTTTGTTGTTGGCTTGTCGATCAAAGGGCATCTCTCTTCGCCGGGCACACCAAACCGAAACACGCTTCTTCTAAAACCGTAAAATAACTCTTTGACATTTCGATTCGAAAATAAGAATCGTGGGCTTTCACGAGAACACCTAGCCCACACTTTACGCTTTCTGGCAGACAGAGTCGAGTCGACTCGCACAGCAGCGGCGTTTGCATTATTTTTTTTTTCTTTATTCCGTTTTTTTTTTTTTTTTTTCCAAGAAAGTTTTGAAGACGAGAAATGTCCCAAAGGTAAGTGCGAACGCATTGCATGCGCTTGTCGTTTTTATTCATTTGATCACACTTCTGTCAAATAATATCCGTGGGTACATTACACTGTAACTTGTCGACACTGAGCGCTGCCTTGAGTCGGCGGACAGCGTCGTACACAGCTTATACTCACAGTAGACTATCTACTCCGATCGCATTAAAAATATATCCGCATGTGTCTTATATGTCTCGGCAAGCAGTGCCTGCAATCCATCCATATTTATACCTTCATCTAGAATCAGAAGTCTGGGCTGATTTAATTAATACGGGAAATAAAGATTACGAGCTCATCCCGTTTTCTCGTTTCGGTATAAAGCGTAACGCCACGCCAAGCCGGATTGCGGCTTTCGACAAAAAGTGCTGTAGCGTTTTGTAAAACGACTGCATTGCTCCTACTAATAGCCTATAGCGAGAAATGTATTATACATTTTTGAAACGGCATTGACTTATTTTTTCCCTCGTAGCAACTTTATTTTTTATTTCGGTAGGATACAATGTTTTCTTTATGGTATTCGAAAGTTAATTGTATTTATTTTCTTGCGTAAATGGCATTCTCCAGAATTATACGGATGTACTGTATCAGAATAGATCTCCGCGATAAGCGCTGATCGTTATGTCGGTTCATTTACGGGCACCGCGGCATGCAGCAGAGTCCTGCCTTTCCAGCGTTCCAACTCCTCCACGTAATAAGTGGCCCCTAGGTGGTGCTAATGTGCAAGAAATATACATAGACCTCTTTTCGCTCATTTGGCCAGTCATCTGTCAATCAGATGCCTCAGCGATTCAGCAGAGTTTTAAAGCTCCGGGAGCTGCGGATAAGTTTTTATAATACAGCAGCGCCGACAAGAAAGCGCCGGGCACGTCGCCTTGCCCCGCGTACGATGATCACTACCTGCCGGACGTTTGCGCATCGTCGTGCATTAATCTTACGGGACTATCTTTGACATTCCGCTTGTATGTAAAACGTAAGTATGAACAGGCGCGGTGGGGTCGGAATTATTTTTAAAAAGTATGAAAATTAAAAAGAAAACTTGTGAGAAAATAATTGGATCACTATTCTGCTGTTTCATTTACAAAAAAAACATTAAGTGCAGACAGTTACTTTTATTTTTTCGGGACGTCTGCCGAATTTCTGTTTGCGTTGCTTTTGCTGAATGACAGACTGCCGACAGACCGCTAGACTGGTCGTGCTGTGTTATTTTTGATTTTAACGCGCACCCATTCTTGAGCGCAGTGTTTACAGAAAACGGGAAATATTTATCCCATACTTGGCTCTCGGTGCAGTGCGTGTGTGTGTGACGCAGTTACAACTTGCACCCTCTGCCAGCGTTTGCTTCGCTTTTAGAAACTGCTACAATCAGCAGTTTGCGGTGAACAATGGGAGCTGGGATTGAGTGGGAGGTATATAGTTGCGGCAGCAATATTACGGACGGAGAGTAACGTTACGAGTAGCGCAGTACAGTTCTACATTTTCTTTTTCGTTTCAAACATTTTCCCCTTCCTATGCGATTTTGTTTTTGTTTGATTTTTAGTTTTTGCAATATGAATTAGACCATGCATTTTTAAGCGACTTGACAGTCATATCGGTTAGATAAAACAAACTACATGGGACAAATTCTATTAACGATCCCCTGCTCTGTCTGTTCTGCAGAGGACAAAATCACACGAATGGCTCGACCACCATAACTGAGCAAGGGGAAGGCGGAGAGTCGCAACCCAGTGGCGGAACAGACTCCGATCCAAGCCGGTCCGAGAACCGCCAAGCCGGCGAAGGGGACCAAATGTTGGGAGGGATTGTAACGACAAATAGGGTCCCTGGTCAACTGCAAGCGACCCCGCGATTTAGTACGCTGTCCGCATCGTCAAGCGGATATCATTCACTCGACATTTCCCTTCCAAACTCTCCCTTTATGACTCATAACAAGTCGACACAGACCCCCAGTCCGTCTAGTCAAGTAATTGCCCATGCACAACAGCGAATTTCCCTGGGGCAGCAGAACCTGCGAGATTATGGTAAGCAGTCTCCGGGTCTGGAACTCACGCCGGTTGCGGCGTGAGTGGCTCTGTGTGGTGTGAGATCGGTCGGTCTGGCGGTGCGTTTGAGGACCCCTGTGCTCGGGTTAAGCCGCGCCAGCCTCTGTGTAAAGCCCAAACAGTTATGCAACAACTGTTTGGTAATACAGAGGCACCATCGATATAGTGTCCCCGAAGTTAAGGATTCCCACTGACTGTGGAGCATGGGAGACCGTGCGTGTGAAGCGCAGACAGTCAGCACATCAGTTCTTTCATAATGTTTTGTGTCTTTTCGCACTTCCCGCTTTACGGGCTGAGTTTTAATCGTCTACATTTCAGCAGGCTACCCGCAAAGCCTCCCCTCCTTTACCCAGCGTTGCCCTTTGATATGACCGTACAAAGTCCGACGGCACTGGTCACCGGCTCTGCGTGCGCGTTCGTCTCTCGCCTTTTTTTGTTGTTGAGGAAGTGAACCCACCTCGTTCTGAAACACGCCGCGCGAAAGCTCTTCCATTAACATTAAGGCACCTTGGGACCTGCAGTATGTATAGTGCGCCACACGTCCCAGTCTATCACCGTAGGCTGACGATCAGCCACCGCCTGTGGGACCTGCTGGAGTGGAACGGTGGTTTCTCTTGAAACAGAGTAAATTATAATCACGTAGGCCTATTTTGGATTTTAACTGGAGTAGATAAAGGAAGTCATGTCCTTTAATAAAACAACAACCAGCATGACAAAGCTAACGAGCGTAAGAAAAAAAACGTCGTTAACAGTACTTAGGTGAGCGCAGCACCGTTAAATGTTCTCTTTAAGTTGTCCTTAATAGTGATGACAAGAAGAAAATGGCTAAGAGATTGTTTACGGCTTAATGGTGACAGAGCGGTTTCTTCAGTTAGCAAGTTTTGTCCGTATGCTGATTCCTGGCTCCCAGTGTCTCAACCTGCGTCTGCTGCCTGTCAAATAAGGGCGAATCTGACGTTCTGGCGGGGATTCGCGGCAGCCGCTCCCGAAGTGTTTCTCTGCAGGCTGTTTACTAAACTCTACTGGAGACAATGTTGAAGCTTAGACTTACTGGCCCAGTTCTCTAGACGTTGACAACCCCCCCCGGAATAGGCGGTAGGAGCGTTTTGGAGCTACAACAGACATTGTAGCTAGTAATAAAAGAATAAAAAATTAATTGTTGCCGGTAAGAATGTAATTTCATATATGTAGAATTCCCATTTGAGATACCTAAAGTGGAATTGTTACCCTCTCGAATGAAATCCACAATGCAGATGAACGGGGAAAGTGACGTAATATCTACTAGTAAGAAGACAATTACAGATGTCTGAAATGCTCATTTGTACTCGTAAGTATTGAATTAGAGATATATGAAATGCCAGTTTGTACTAGTAAAAATTGCAATGCATATATCAAAAATGACCATCCGCTTACTTATTTAATATTAAATCGGCCACTTAAATTTGTTAGAAATTTGAAGATGTACATTTCACTAGGGGAGTTACAGATATCTTCAAACACCACTTTTGATAGTAAGAACAGAAATTAGAAATGACTAGTAAAAATAGGATTCTGGTTATCTAAAATACAATTACAGGTAGGGTAGGGGTGTGTTTAAATGTTACAACGTCTTGTCATAAGTGATGTGGCCCCAAGTGAACAAGCAGAGGATACGCAACAGCGGATGTTTAGCTATTCCCTTATAATGGATCTAATTGAGCCGGCAGATCATCTTGTTTGCATTTATTTGAGCTCAGTGCTGCAAAGGTCACAGTAAGTGATTCAGAGTGGAAGCTTTTTTCTCAGTCAAAATAGAGCCACATGTGTTTTCTTTGTGAGCAGGAGGGTGATACCAGGCTGAGCTTCCTATAGGCTGCCTGCTAGATGAGTGGCACTGATAAGTGACACGCTGGAGACTTTCGGCACACTTCTTTTAATCCTTTAGAAGTACGAGCTGAGGTTGGTGGTGGGGGGGAGGGGGATGTTGTGCATCTCTTATTCAAAAGCAGATCTCAACCCACCAAGTTCCTTGATGCTAGTGCTGAAAGTTTGTTATCAAGGACAGCTTAGATGGGGCATTTGCTGAGTAATAGTGTCAAAACTTTGAGGCCCAGTTGAAGCGTCAGAAAACGAGGTAAGAATCTTTCTTTAAAAACCTTCTTCCACTAGCTTAAACATCTATTAGATATAATGACATCATTCTACATTTGAGACTGAGATGAGTTATGTGTTATGTCTTGAACTAAAACATAGATGATGTGAAAACGATAAAAAAAAATGTCATATAAATTTTTCACATTTTCAACATAAAGGGCAGTGACAGGGGCTAAGTTTACATATCTGGGCTGTTGGCTTAGGAACCATTTGATAAATATCATTTGGGATGGTCTATCTGTGTAACATTGGCTGTCGGAGTCATTTCAAAATCACAGACTTCCACACGCCTGTTACACAAGCCTTGAGCTGGTGGAGAAGGAATTTTCGATTCAGCTGCTATTGTGATTGACCCGACGCCCTCTGGCTATCGCCACCTCATGCTTGCTGTAGTCTGGCAGTGCCTAACCAAGCCTTTCTCAGAGCATGTGCCCAGGTGTAATGTCAGCCACCATATTCATTTCCTGAACTGCACAGCGTGATTTCGCACCGTGGAAATGGAGGCAATAAAAGCCATTTGCCACATGAATAGTAAGGCGGCAGAATGTACAGATTCTTGTACATTCTGGGTATGTGGATGAAAAGACCTAACGGCAAATTTGGTTCTCACATGACTCATACTGGTAGATCAGAAGGGCTGCATGTCAGCGAGTCACGCAGGATAACATGCAGCATTAAGCTCCAACCTCAAGAGTTTCTGTGCCTTTCAGATCATTGTAACTCTTTCTAGAAACCGGAGTGTCTTTGGTATGTGAGTACATTTCTGTACTGTACACACAGGTCAAGTAAGGCATCTGTGAGATCAAAGGATAAATTATGCTGATTTCGTCAGTGTGGTCTGTTTGATGGGCTTCTCCTTGTCCAATGTGTCCAATCAGGAATAGCCTTCTTGGGGCAGTGTGCACCAAGCCTGGTCAGAGACTGGGCTTGCACGTTAAACCCTGGCTGTCCGTTTTTGTGGTTATAAATGGGCGATGGGGGAAATGAGGGCTCTGGAAACGCCGTGGGCGGGATTCCTGTCACAGGCTCGTTTAACCTAGTGGGAAACTTTGAAGTAACTCAGGAGCCGTGAATTTGATCAGTAATGTATGAGTTTGAAAACCTTTCTCCACCGTTAGTAATGGCTTCCCAATCCTGAGAAAAATCATTAAAACGTGAAATAATTCAGGGGCAGAAGTAGATTTGGTTGAATCCCAGACTTAGTGTAACATAAGGTATAGTTGCCTTTGGGGCCTTACACTGACATGGGTGCGGGGGCCCTAAAGGGGCCATTTGAGCTATTTTTTTTTTAGCCAGAACAGAAATGAGTGAATTAAAATCAATGGAACATCAAGAATATGCCAATCAAAGCACAGGGTTCTAGCAGTAAAACTTACTAATTAGGGTGGGGGTGGGAATGCCTCCCCCCAAAAATCCATTCCTGATTTAACGGTAGCATGAAAAAGCATAATTGTGACTCTCCTGGGCCTCCCCAGGTGATCTGGAAGCCCCAAGTTGTAGTATGAGCAGCTGCTCCCCGCAGGTGAGGTCCAGCCGTCTGATGTTTCTGCGTGCATTTCGTTTGTCCCAGACACGCGACGAGCCCCTGTCCCCTTCTTTAGAACGCGGACGCTGTCGATGCTGCCGGACATGCGGCCAGAGATGCTGGTCGCACGAGAGCTGCGGCGCATCGGTGACAAGTTCAATGATATCTACATAAATGGGGTGAGTATCCTACTCTGTCCTCACTGTCCTCTTCGGCCAACTGCTATGGGCCAAGGGGCAACACTGACTCCTTACCCTGGGGACAACAAGAACAAAGAGTCACCCCTAAGATCCAGATCTTCCTGGCTCCATGTTAGAATGGGGGAAGTGGAGCAACAGGAAATAGTATGAAAAACATACTGGAAGAAAGTCAACCCTGGACAGGTTTGGACATGTTGGACATGTTACGTTTTTGTGGAGGATTCTACGGCATTCATTGGCCTTGCGTGATATTTTTCAGCCATTTCTCAATATTTTGGAACGATGGATTTTCTATTTATTTAGCAGAAGAGAAAAGTCTGCGATTAAAATCAAGTGTTTCCTTTAGGAGAGGCAGAGAAGGGCAGTCAGATTCTGTAGTGCGATGGAAGGCGTCAGGGGCTGTTTGCGGTTCCTTCAGTCCTTATGATTGCATCACCCTAAAAGAACAAAGAAAAGCTGAATCTAGGTGAAATATAAAGGGCCGAGAAAATGCAGTAGGCGCCTTGTCCTGTGGAGCACATGGTGTTTCGGGTTTTGGTCACATTTGGGTCTTTTTCTGCACTTAAATATACAATTTAATTTATGTCCGTGCGGCTCGTAATTCATCACTGCCAGCTTGATTAAATTCTGGCACTGAAGCCTAAATGGGGAAAGAGGCCTTAGCTGAAATATCCTGGCATCATGAGTCATGCCACTGTCATCAAACCAAAACACGTCTTATTTATGGCCAAGTCTAAACGAGGATTCTCATTTTTATGATCATACATTATTAGCCTGGCCTATTTTTAAGGGCTGTTGGTGTCTCGTAGCTAAAGAGCAACATGCTAACATTATCGAAAACCTCAGGCGAGTGCTTGAAAGTTGGTCGGATGAATGGTTCTACCAAATTTTTTTAATCCCAGAACTGCATATTGCAAGTATAAGCAAGCAGATCAATTAGGAAAGCAACACAGCGTCGGTAATTGGGACAGGAAATTCTGAAACGCGCGCACTCAGAACGAGAAACAGCATTTCTCACGTTGTTTGGAAGCTGGCGTCGAAGCCACATAGCCGTGAAGCGGTTCACCGGTTGCGTCATTCATGCCTACTCGTTCATGACCCGATGTACACACTCCGTTCATCCTTCCCTTCCTCTCTCTCCTCTCAGGGGTTAAGTCCCTTAAACAGATTTTTTTTTTTTATGTGTGGCATAACAACAATATGCTATAAAACATTTATTACCATCTGTCCGAAAGCTGTCCTTACCTTCACGCTTTAGCCTGTTAGCTTCAAAGCTCCCAAATTGAGAACAGAACCAATAAAATGAATGAAATATATAAATAAAACAAACAATTTATCCAGGTTTTCACGCGGCCTGAGAGTGAAGGTTAGACCCTTCTAATAATGTTCCTAAAATATTGTGATTTTTGACCCCCAAAGTGTGCAGCTGTACCATATTACTTGACTGCATGTAGCTGTTTTGTGGCTTTTTTAAAAAAAAAAAATATATGATCTGAATTGACTGTAGGAATTGAGTGTAGGAAAGCTGATGAGTCAGTCCGTATCGCCGGAGTGTGACTTTTTCGCTCAGTGAAACCTGCAATTTTATTGCTGGGTTGAGTAATGTCAGTCAGCTTAATCCGCGCCGATGAGCCAGCGCTCTGACATTGATCTGTGCGCCGTGGAGACGGAGTGACCTCTCTGTGGACGCTCTTCCTGGCACGTGTCCAGCTCTGTTATTGTGCTGTTCCAGTCTACTGGCCGAGCCCGGCCGGTGAGGACGCCTTTGGGCACGAAGGCCCAGGCAGGACCTCGGTGTCAGCGTGACGTATATTGGATGAAGGTGGCATGTCTGGAACGTCCGAATATAGCCCAGGCTGACCTATTTTTTGAGGTCACCGGGCTCAGCATGGAAAAATATTGCAATGACAGATCTTGAGGACATCAAAGAGCAGCTCAGGTTCAGCCCAAGATATGTGTGTGTCTGGGCGCATCTGAGGTCTTCACGTAGTTAAGGTTCTCAGTCGCGTGGTTCTTCATGCGAAGCACGCTCAGGGCATTTCAGCCGGGGGTGGCGCCATTGTATGATTAGATTGCCCCGTCGGCCGCCTCCCAGTTCTTCAGGTTTTGGGTCGAAGGGGTGTTCTGAGAACAATAATAAAAAAAAAAAGCAGAAGTTGATTCGCTGGGCGTTCCACATCGCCGTGCCGACCTGAGGCAGCAGCCGCCAATCCCTGTAAAGGACACACCCACCTGAGGGCCGTCCCATGAGAGGCACCCAGGCCGGGGACATGCAAATACCACACGCAGAACAGCTTGTAAATAAGAGCTACGTGAGTGAACCAGGTTCCCCACTAACTCAGCAGAAAGAATACTGTGCCAACAATGCAAAGGTCATGAGTTAAAATCCCAGCGAGCTCACATAAATGGTGACCCTTCTCTCTGTAAGTCACTTTGGACAAAAGTGTCAGATAAATGTTTCTGTTTTTTACTCACAGGTGTCTTGCACACTGATGCAATGGCTCAGCTTTTTCTAAGGTCAATAATGACTGATAATAACTTTTATCACCATTATCTTGTAATGCCTTGAATATCCATTTAATAGGAGTATTATCTTTTCTTTTGTTTCATTTTCTATACATTTTCTGCTCTCCCTTGTTTGACCATACACCTACAATGGCTGCAATAACAGTTAAAATATTTTCTTTTCCCTAGTAGCTGTTTTCTGAGTCTCCTTTCTTCCTCTTTTTTCAGTCTGGACTTTCCTCTCTCGCTCTTTCTGTCTCATTTCATCCACCGTAGTAAACACACGCTTACTTCCGTGGGCTGGCGGGCTTTGAAGCAGCACCTTAGGGTGCACATGCGGGTAACTCCCCCCCCCACCAGCTGGCATCCTCGTCCCTCCCCGCCCCTTTAAAGCGGCGGGGGGGGGGGGGAGGAGGGGGGATAGTTGCGGACGTGCTTTTTTCAGTAACGGGCAGTTCCAGGCAGGAAAGCGAGTGAAACATCGGGCAGCAGACGTGTGCAGACGAGCCCACGGGACGGAGAGGCGCTGAGCAGCGCGACCTGTGGGAGGCGATCTTCAGTGGGGGGGGGGCCCGTCCCCTCGTGTCACACCCTGGGTTGGTACTGTTCTTCCATCCCATCTCAGAGGCCTGCAGGAGAGGGTTAGACTAGACTGCTCTCTGACCCATTTGAGACCCCTTGCCTGACCATGGCGAAATCATAATTGGGGGGGGGTTATGCCGCGACTGAGCGGAAGTGCGTCTCCCGGGAGAGATGGGGGGGGGGCAGCCCTCCAGCACCAGCCGGCTGCTTCAAGGTGTGTTTTTCATTGTGGTTTTTGGGTGGGGCCGCTCTCACGTGCCCCACACGCTCTCTCCCGGCAAGTCAGGTGACGCGTGAAAAAAAGAGGAATCGCTCCCGGAAAGGAATGGTGGCGACGTCACGTCGTGCTGAGAGCGGCAGACTAGTGAAATCAGAGGAGTGTGACTGAGAGGCGATTGGCGCTGGATCAGGAAAAAAAGGAAGGGATGTTTTGCTTGTCCGTCATCCACTCAGGGCAGCTGACCTCCAGCCGCCAAACGCCGGCGTCGAGGGGGGGGGCAGCTGTCTGTGTCACGAACGAGGTCACTGGGTTTGGGAGCCCCGCCCTGCAGTAAACTATAATCTCACACACAACTACTTCCTGTCTCCTCTCTACTTGTTTTTTACCCCCCAACCAGAGACAGAAACTGTGAATCAGTCTTTGTTGGTGGGGGCCAGGAGGTCTCCTGCCCCTAGAGGCATATGCCCCCCCCCCCAACCATTACTGGGTAACAGGCCACTTTTTTAGTACCTCAGTGTGCACCCCACCCCCAAAACCGATGCAGCAAAACAGACGTATCATCACAGGGTCACCTCTCATTTGCCATTAACCCTGCCTGTCTGCCTGACCCTAGGGGCCCCCGCTCCGCCCAGGGGGACAGAAACGGGGGGGGGGCGGGATGGGTGTGAAATGGCGCCATCGCAGGGACCCTGGCGGGGTGCAGAACTGCCAATGGGAAGCAGATGTCCGCCCTTGGGAACAGACGCTGCCCCCCCAGGAGCTGCCGGGGCTGGTGGCCGTGGGCCCAGCCAGGCTCAGAGCTCCCTGCATCAGCCGCACGGCTCTGTCTGCTTCTGCGACGCCATCGCATGTTTTACTGCTGCCCGACAGCCCGCTTGGGGTCCGTGTCGCAATATGCCGTGTGGACAGCGTTGCATGTGAATATCTGAGGTGCCCTCGGTCCGGGATGCGTTTTTCCTATTTATACTTAAATCTAATTATAGATTTTATAGCTATTTTATTTGTCCTGTATTTACAGTCTTCCTTTTCCACAGTGTCCTGGCCTCGGTTACGGCTGTAGCTCGCATGCGGTGCTGTGGATTATCCGGTGGACGTACCAAGCTTTTGGCCGGCGTTTTGGTCGTCTAGTCAGTGTGAAATGGTTTTCTCCGCAAATGCCAGCGTTAAGTGTTTTAACATCCAGACGGCTGAGATTTGACCCCTGTGAGCTCCAAGATGTGGCTTTTGTTTTGGATTTGCTGGACTTCCCTCGCCGAATGGAGGCCGGTGAAGGCCGCTTTCCCCGCTGGCCGTACTTAACCGTCTTTACTGTCAGAACAATCACTTTGAGTTGCAGAGAAAATAGCCGTCTTTTGAAGACTTTTCCCTGAATGTCAATAACAGGCACGTACACACAAATCACGCCTAATTAACAGGACAGTTCCCCTGTCATTTTGAGTTACATGAAATGCCCATAATGCAGTTCTGCATAGGTAGCAAGCCTGTTTTTGTTTTGGTGTTCACGTTGGGACTTTTGATTGGATGAGGGTCGCGTTTAACACTTAACCTGTGAGGTCACGCAGAGAGCATGAAGAGGACAGCAGATAGACCCCCCCAGCCCAGTGCCCATCCACGTGCACCCCTCTCATTTGGGGTTACATAGCCCAGACAGCTCAGGGGGCTGGGGGGGAGCTGGAAAGGAGGAACCTACTGGAGTATAGCCTGGTAGCTGATTTTTTACCTGGGGGGGGGGGTTTCAGTGAGATGGAAACCGCAAAGTCGTCCGCCACCGACCCACTCCTGATTGGCCGTGGCTGGAGGGTGTTGGGGGAGGGGCATCACATTCCCCCCCTCCCCCGACTGACAGAGGCGGCAGGAGCAGCTGCCTCGCAGCCCGTCGGCGGGGGCTGGGCCAGCTGTCCCCCCTGGGAGGTGCCCTGGCCCCCCCCACTGCCGGGCACACAATGAAGGACTGGCAGCAACTCTCTGCTCTGAAAACACGCATCCTGGTTCCTCTGTTCTCTGTGCCCCCCAGAGAGAGTTCAGCAAAACATGCTTTTTTCAATCAGTGACGCTGTCCTGGGCTTCGGAGAGCTGGGTGCAGCGTGCAGACTACATCGCTTCATCACCTGTTTATTTACCGCAGAGAGCCCCCTTCCCCTGGGGTGACCCCCCAGAATAACACACGCACAGATCACAGGGTCCCAAGCGTAGTCCAGGAGATAAGAATGTGGGACCTGAACTGCTCGTCTGAAACCAGGAGACGAGGGAATCACAGAGTGTCTGTGAACGTCTGTGAATGCAAGCTGGTCTGTTTTTGCTTTGTTGTGTCGCTGTCGTCGTCGTCGTCCCCGGCCAGAGGGAAGGGGTAAGGCTTATCTCGGTGGCTGGTGCCAGGGATCCGCATTCCGGGCACACCTTCACTCTCTTCAGGAAGTCTGTAAACAGCTCAGTGCCGAGTGGATGAGACCATTTGTAGCTGTTCAGGTTCTTCGCTCAAGGATACAAGTTTCCCTTCCTGGAACGTCTGTCGTCCAGGTCTGGTAAACACAGTCGAGGGTCTAAGTACTGACTGAGCGACACCTCTGACACAAGGAGAACAGGGCCGGGCCGTTTCAGAGTGGCTCATTCTGCCCCCGCGCCTCTCCCCGCTGTCTCGACTCCCCCTCAGTTCCACTTCCTCATCCGTAGGTCTGTCATTGTGTTGGGGGGCAAGAACAATGGCTGCTCTCAGGGGCCTCGCTGTTTGGCCTCTGATGGAGGCAGAAAGGTCCGACGCCCATCGGTGGCGAAAAGGGGCTGGGCGCTGGCCACCCATGTGACCTGGAGGAGACGTGTGATTGGAGGAAGCCCCGGTCGTCGTTCGATCCCACGCTGCTCCCGCTCACGTGGGTTACTCGACCTCAGTTACTCATGCAGTTTCAGACAGACCACCTGTTAGTCCGGCCCCCCAAATTGGAATATCAGCCCAAAGCAACTACCACTGGGAACACCTGGAGAATGGGGGGGGGAAATAGGCCTTAGCTTCCGACATTTGTTCTCAGGACGGGCCCACAGCATGGACGGCTCTGGGCCAATGGCCGATGAGTCAGGCTGCGGGGGGGGGGGGCATGGCAGCCCCTTGGCGGCACCTTCCTGTCTACCTCCAGTGCCCCAGACGCTGCTTCACAAAGGCGCTGAAAAACTCGGCCGAGTATTTTTCCAGCCGGAGAATTTTATTTGTGTTCGATCTAAAGCTGAGCGGCTCCTTTGATGGGTGGCCGACTCCGGCGATTCATTAATGGAAGTTTATATATAAATCAGCAGGTTTTGCTTTAAACGGCTGGCCTTTGGCTTGAAATGCTCACCCTAACAGTGGGCCAAAGAAACAGGATGCAGTTTACGGTTATTAAAGTGCCTTTTATTAACATATCGCTTCCTCTCGGAGATCGAAAACCCTGTCTATTGTTTGAAGCAATTAGCACGCCAGGTTACCGGGTTCCTAGCGATGCCTATTGAATAGGCTGTTATTTTAAAAGCTTTTAGGGGGATTTTTCTGATGCGTGTCAGCCACAAACCAGGAGATTAATGGTAGATGTCCTGAAATCGATGCTTCAGAGAAAATGGAGTGTGTCCGACAGTAAAAATATCAATTGAGATCCAGATGGGTACGTCAGGTTCTCGGTACAGCCTGAGCTGCTGTCGATGGGTAACTGCAGGGTTTGTGGGGGGGGCACAGTTTTCCCACGTTGTGATAGCTGTGAGTTAAGGTTTACTCATGGCGCTGTGTCAGAACTTGCCCCCCACCCCCCAGTCCTGCCTCCCTCCAGAAGAGGCACCAAGGTGACGATTGGCTCTCTTCTCTGGCTTCCAAGAATCACTGTAATGAAGCAGTGATGAGAGTGACTCATGCTGGTCTTCCCGTAAATCTTCGGCGTCTTTGGGGAGACCTTGAATTCAGCAGGGGTGGGGGTGTGAACCTAATTATCCCCCTAATTATCCCCAAGCCCCACATCATTATACCTGTCGACACCCCCCCAGGCCAGTGATTATATCATTTGAGGCCTTTTCTGGTAGCAACATTTTCTTTCTTATTTTGGTATTATAACAGTGTGATAACACATTTCTTTCTCTTCCTTGAAGCATGTTATTCAAATGGCAGCACCCACAGCAGCCTCTAACCTCTAATCCCGCCTCCTCTCTCACAGAGTGCAGCACCCGCAGCAGCCTCTAACCTCTAATCCCGCCTCCTCTCTCACAGAGTGCAGCACCCGCAGCAGCCGCTAACCTCTAATCCCGTCTCCTCTCACAGAATGCAGCACCCGCAGCAGCCGCTAACCTCTAACCCCGCCGCCTCTCACAGAGTACAGCACCTGCAGCAGCCTCTAACCCCGCTGCCTCTCACAGAGTGCAGCATCCACAGCAGCCTCTAACTCCGCCTCCTCTCTCTTCTTGCTTTCACAGAGGGCCGGGGACGGGAACCTCTGGGCAGCCCCTCGGCGAATCCAACACATGCACGTCTTCGTCCTGTGGATTGCCAATCTGCTGGAACGGCTGCTACAGTTCCTGAGGCAAAGATGATTGGAGGATTGCTGACTGCCTCCCCACTTACCCACCCAGAACCCAGCAGAAACGTAGCATTCCTGTACTCTGTAAATACGTAAATACGAAGATCCATTTTTGAGGAGGACACCTGAATTTCTTCCTATTATGCTTCGTCGTTACCTGGACTGAGTCCGTTTTTTCTTGGAGACCAAGGACAATTGTACTATTTCAAACTGCTTGGATGGATGCAGCTGTAGGAATACTTTTATACAGCAAAGGAGGCCCACCTCTCTGGCCTGACAGCTCTGCCAGGACAGGAAACTGTCACCAAGGAAACCAGGGCTGCTGTTGGACTGAGGGCTTTCCCTGGGATATGGCAACCCCCCCCCGGCCTTTTCTGTAAATAAGCCTCCGTTTTGTTAAAGGCCTCTCCTCTGTTCCCACTATCTTTCCAGCGTCGCCTTCCTTCATTTCTTTCCTTCCATCTATTTATTTTTTGTTTTGTATTTAATGTTCTCGTTTATGTACTCTAAATGTGTTTTTTTTCTTTTGTTTAAAGTGGTATCTATCAGTAAGTCAATCAATCAGCCATCTACAAATACTGTTTTGCTGCCCAGAATCAAACCAATCCTTGCCGTCGCGATAAGTCCGACATTTTCGTACATGGAGATTACCATACACATCTCTGCCAGGCTGTGTCCTATTCACACAAAGACATTAATGTAGGATCCCAGTCGCATGCAAAAATTTAACCTCGTGGTCGTTATTGACCTGGTCGTCCCTGAGACTGTTCTGGTTCCAAGTGCCTCGGTTCCCAGTCCAACGTGCAGAAGGTACTTAGAAGATGGAGCCAAGACCTTCTACTCAGCTCAGGGGCTACATTTCACGTTTTAGATGCTGCTCCAGGGTACACATCCACAAATCCACCATCTACCTCTGAATAAGTCAGATCTGTCACTTTGGTTTTCAAGAGATGCTCAGTGTTTTGTTGTTGTTTTTAATATTTCTCCCTCCATGAGAAAACCGTGCAAAAGTGTGCGTTTACCCCTTGATGTGGTGGATGACGGCTGTTCTAAGAACAGGCTTGCCCTTCAGAGGGAAGTCTCACCCATCCCTGTGCGTGCCGCAGTACCTGGGTGCGGAGTACAGATGCCCCAGGCGTGGTAAAATCACTCAGACATCGACTGGATGGCATGTGAATCCTCTTCAGTATAACAGTGTTACATTTCGGTGTTGATAATTAATTACAATAACGGGAGGAATTAGTGTGAAGTTAAGTCTGCGGCTCGCGCCCCCACGCCATGCCGAGATCCGGTCCAGCCCTCTGTTTTGGAGTATCGTGATATGCGGCTAGCTAATGCTTCTTCCCTGTTACCGTGGTTACCCTGCGGATCCTCCCGTTCAGATTAAAGGTTTACTGGCAGATTGTTAGCTGTTACTTGCAGATATGGTTGTCAGCATGGTTTTAATGTGGTTTTAATATGGTTTTGTTGATGAATTTTAACATTAGCAGATGACTGTAACAATCGTGCGACCCAGGCTCATCGCTCCGAATGACAACCATGGGCACCTAAGACCCATCCGTCTGACCGTCAAGGAATCTTCTCAGGTTTTAGGAGTGACCCCCAGCAACACACTAATGGGGGCACCTTCCAAAGACACATACAAAGTATTAGCTAGCTGGGAAACTGCCGATGCCTCTAGTCTATCAGGCCTCGTGGCATCGCTGTGATATTGGGACCCGCTTACTTTTAAGGAGCGCAGCAGGGCTTGGGACACTGGTCCCTCCTCTCGGGTTTCCGAAATGTGCTTATAATCTTGTGATTGATGGAAACAGAAAGAAATAATGCAGCGGCATTTTGCTGCCTCAAATACACATTTCTAATGGGCATCTTATGGAAAAAATCACAGACAGCCGTTGGATTGGGGCCAATTTCATGGCACCTCATCTCTTATGACAGGCAGGCCATCACATTGGTTTGTATGGTAATATGTTATCGAAGGGTAAGACATCGATTACCTCATGCCGACGTGCCCCCCCCCCCCCCAGCTTGGCGGCGAGCAGGACCACAACACACACGCAGGCCCAGGACACACACGCATTGATTACTGCTCAATAGCAAAATGCTGATGTTATACCACTTTACAGGACCCAGTACAACTGTAGCAAGAACTTTTTTATCATGTTTTTTATTTTGCACTGAAACTAAAGTAAGAATAGTGCAATACTGCTGTAAATACCTGCATTTGATTTTGTATGTTCTACTAAAAATAAAATCTAAAGAAACTAAAGCAGTTGTCTTGTATTACCTGAGAGAACTTGAGATTACAGGCAGGATCTGAGCTGTGGTGTGTTTTTCCGGTAAAAACTGATGAATCATTGCCAATAACAATAATAAAATTAGTTTTAGACCCTCCCTCTAATAAATATCCATGAAGTGGCTGAGCCAAGGAACTGGCTGGGGTAGTGCATTCGTCTGCACGGTGTCAGCGTCTAAGCTCAGGACCGGCCGGGGTAGTGCATTCGTCTGCACGGTGTCAGCGTCTAAGCTCAGGACCGGCCGGGGTAGTGCATTCGTCTGCACGGTGTCAGTGTCTAAGCTTTGGACTGGCCGGTCTTCGCCAGCAATGGTGCATCCCCGTTGCAAATATTCCGTCCTTTCATCAGCTTGTGCGAGCCCGTGTGGAGCATGTGAAATCCGGGGCATTCCAGACCTGGGTGCAAACATCACCAGATTATGACATATTACTCATCGCTCCGGTCTCTGCTCGCTGCTTATCAAGGTGACCTGGCAGATGTACGAGTACACGCTGCTGTTTTTCTCTGCCGGTGCAGGGTAAATTCCAGAACACATGAGGTTTGAACACTCTGGTGCCTTCTGGACTCTGCTGAAGGTATTTTCGCTTTTCCTTTCATTAGTTTTACTCAAAAACTAACACAACGGGAGGCGCTCGTACGCATGATAACTGCAGGCGTTCACGTGGACAGCACAGCTGCACTGAATCTCTATCCCGTTCTGGCCCCGATAAACAGTTAACTAGTTCCTGAAAATCAACCATGACAGGATTTACAGGCTTCAGTTCCAACTACACTAACATCTAACCATACATGTAACCAAAAATTATGACACAGGATGAGTGTGTGTGTATCCCCCCCCCTCCCCAGCCCTCGGACAGTGATGACTACAGACAGGGTGACGGGACGGCAGCTCTGCCTTCCGACATGCCAGCACCTCCTTCACCCCCCTTCTGCCTCAGTAATAACGCCCCCCTGGCCCCCTCTGCATCGTCCAAGCAGCATGCGTTACGAGGCACAAAGCCAACTGATCCAAACCACGGGAAAGAAAAAAAAAACAGTAAATAAATCATTTGAAGTCCACAAGCCATGACGTTACCCCTGCCGAGAATAGACATGTGAAGGAGATAAGCTAAATATTCAACATGATTTCAGATTGTGTACAGTGTCCTCTGTGGCATTCATTAACCTCTTTCTTAGCCCCTTTGCTAACTCCGTCAACAGTGCCTTCATTGGCTTCTTTGTTAGCCCCTTCGCTAGCTCCTTCGTTAGCTTCTTTGTTAGCCCCTTCGCTAGCTCCTTCGTTAGCTTCTTTGTTAGCCCCTTCGCTAGCTCCTTTGTTAGCTTCTTTGTTAGCCCCTTCGCTAGCTCCTTCGTTCGTGCCTGCATTACATTCTTTGTTAACCCCTTTGTTAGTTCCTTTACTGGCTCCTTCGTTAGACCCTTCATTAGCTTCTTTGTTAGCGCCTTCATTAGCCTCTTTATTAGCCCCTTTGCTAGTTACTTCTTTAGCTACTTAGCTTGCTTCTTTGTTAGGCTCGTCGTTGGTCCCATCCTCCCAGTTACACAGCCCCCCTGTTTCACTGCCCACATACTTGGTTTCCAGCCAGCCTTTATAGTCAGACAAAGGGCAAATTTTCAAACCTGTGGGCGACCAGAGACGGGCCTGGGGGGGGGGGGGGGTGATGACTAGGCCTAGCACAGCTCACAGAGTATCTCAATCGTCCAGGCCACCCAGGGTGTGTCCAAAATCAGGACGAGATGCTGGAGGTTTACCACAAGGGACTCAGAAGAAAACCATTTAATGACCATATGCTGAGTGGGATTTTCTCTGGGTTTCACCTCCCTCCCCCCCCCCGCCCAGAGCTCATTCGGGAAGAATGTCGGCCCAGCTACATCTCGCAGGGGTCTTCCTGCCTGACGTTGTCCCGCCGATGCTAGGAATCGGCAGTCCCTGTGGCTCCGATCCCGAAAGGAGGCAGTCACAACAAACGGGAAGCACTTCCTCAGAAAGCGTTTGGGGGCACCAAACATGCACTGTTGTTATTTTCCTTGTTTGGCAAAAATAAAGGAGCATTACTGTAACAAATGGCTCTTTGATTAATTGTTTGATTTATGTTCAGAATGACGCTAATTACCGATTACTGATTCTTTTTTTAACCCATTTCCCCGTCTCACAAATTTAAGGCCCCAAATTCATCACAGACCAACCTCAGTATTATTTAAAGGAAGTCAGTTCAGTTTTTTAAAAGCACACAGAGCGGATGTGGCGGTTCCTGGGTTATCAGGTCCCGCCTTGAATTGCTCCTAAGACGTCTCCATAGCAAGCGGCAGGCGACGTGAGCGGCATCGTGTTTCCTCGCCACGTCCTCACCGCATGGACACCGCGCTTCCCGGCTCAGGATGCTCAACACACTCTTATCTTGCGGTTCCGTGATTACCACACCGGGGCTCTGGGCCCGAGGAGGGACGTTCAGGATGCTGTGGTGATAGACCCCACCCGAGACGGTGACCAACAGGCATAACCATAGCTTACGCGTTTCCTCGAGGTCCGTATCCACTGTTATTTCCTGCTGGGGGGGGGGCAGTCACATGACACTAGGCAGGGCCGGTCCTCCCCCCCCCAGCAGACCAGCTGCACCATCAGAGGGGCCTTCAAGACCATTGCTCTCTCCGCTGCGTACACAAGCCCCGTATATGAGCCGGAGATGCGGCCCCATAGGAAAACGATCCGGAAGGTAGAAACATCAGGAGACAGGAGGATGGAGAAGCCATGATGGGCTGTTATGATGATGATGATGATGATGATGATGAAGATGATGATGATGATTAGAATATTTTGCACAATTTGCACACTCTTGTGTTGCATACTCTTGGTCTGATATTTACGTGCATTGGGAATATGTGTATTCTGTCATATTTTATATATATATATATATATATATATATTATATATATTAAAAAGTCTGTTTTCATGGGTTACATGTCGTGTGGCCAAGCACCAGAGCAACGCCTCAGAAACGGGGATATAAAGTGATTCTAATTGTGAACCGGAAGCATGTCATTCATTATTATAGCTTCTCTGTCCCTCTAAAGGTCACCAAAACAGGTCTAACACATAAAAACCAAGATACATAAACAGAGAGTGACTGAAGGGAGCTGACATGGTAACTATTCACATAGTAAATATCACGTTAATAAGAGACGACGGGACTTGATGACGCCATGAAGTATTTTTCATAATGAATAAGCAATTCTTGGTTATGTTGCCAAATGCATCTCCCCGCACATGAGACTTTATTGTCTTCATTGTGTATTCATATCCCACCTGGGACATTTTGCTTGTTATTCGCCATTTTCGACCTCGATTTAGATTACACAGTTACTAAAGTATATAGATTTTGTTTAACGGTCAATAAAAATAGAGTGGAATTAAATTTTAGGACGAAAAGGACCCCTTAGGGATCATGGGCACTTTTAGGCGGCGGAGGAGCAGACAGCCGGCAGCTCTTCTCTGCTGTCGTTAGCTGAGGCGCTGAGAGCCTCCAAAGTCCTGTTTATGTAATTAATATGGCTTCCAGCTTTGGCAGCTGATTCTGAATTCTCTCTCTCTCAAGCTCAGAAAGTCGCCAATCTAAATTTGTTACTCCAAAGGGCCCTGAAAGATCCCTTTTCAAGAGGTTCTTACTTTATAAAATTACTTTATACATTTTTTCTGTACATGACAGTGTCCAGTGTAGATGGGCTTTGTCTGCATGCGGCGCCTGGCGCTTGGTTTGAAAATTGCATCCAAAAAAATGAAGTTTTTTTTCTCCTTGGTTTGGTGGGGGGAGGGTGGATGCGGTTCATCGGAGGGGCAGTAGGATATCATGGACGCCATTCGTTCCCTCCAGTCGTTCACTTTGTGAGGATGGTCCAGATGCCAGCTTGCTGACATTGCATCATGTTTGCATCAACGCGACCAGAATGTGACCTTCCAATCCTGGGCCGAAGCGAGGGTGTGGAGGGGGTGCGGAGGGGGTGTGGAGCGGGCGCTGGGGGGACCCTCCCCCTGTCAGCTGGACTGTATCACAACCGTTTTACAGCTTGTAAACACATCATGGGGCCAAGGGAGGGCATCTACAATGCCCCCCCCCCCCCAAAAAAAAAAGTTACCACCACACGTCAAACAACGGCGACACGCTGCGAGAAATGAAAACAGACAGAATAAAGCACGAGATCTTACAGACAATGCGACCCCGAGCCGATCACATCGATGGCACAGCAACCTAGTCGGATTAGACAATATTATCAAGCACTCATTTATGGTTGCAGCAGTCTGTTAGTGATTTAGCCAGAAATTACCGCTGCGTGGTTTAACACACCCCAGATAATGTGAAGCTGCAGCCTATGGTATGTATGGTAAGTATGTATAGGGAGATGGCAGTAAACTTGGTGTGACATGAAAAAGCAGCTCATTAACTCCAGATAGTAACTGCTGCGGTTAGTGGAACAGCTGACCGCAGAGGTCTGACTTCAAAAACAAAACAGTCACTACGGCTTAAAAGCCGGCCGCGTCTTTTCTTCTTGGACCAAAAAAACATTCTGCAACTGTCTGCCGATCCGAGAATGCTACCGTTTATGTAAACAAGATTCATTAAAAAGGAATCCCTTTAACGAGTGACTGGGGTGTGTTGGCTTTCATAGGACTCCAAGTCCCATCACCGTATTTTCATTCCAGCTGCCATGACAATAATGGCAGACATAGTGCAAAGTCAGCTGGGAATTGTAGTCTGGGACCGGTCACTGGCCTGGTCGGCTAAACAAGTGGGGTACGGTGGCCTGCAGTGGACTGGCAGTGGTTCTGCGCCGATGGCGCTGCGCTACGTGGGTGGAGAATGAGTCAAAACCGGCTTCCGCTGAGCGTTTCGGTGGCCAACACTTTCCTTTCTACCGTGTCACTACTTTCCCCCGACCCCTGTCTTCTGCAGTGGACAGTGATATTAGCATCCATTAC